AAAGTCATCAATGACTTTCTCAGCTATATTTTCTGGCTAAGGGCAGGAAAGGAGGTTGGTGATATTTGGGATAAGGAACCAAATTGGCACTTTGAAATAAAGACCTCTGGAATTTTGAAGTTAGCTAAGGGATTTCTTCTAGGGATTTCTTCTAATCTTCTAAGGCAGAATGACATGCTGAGAAATTTAAAAAAAAAAAAAACAAAAAAAAAAACAAAAAAAAAAAACACATGTTCATACTCTGGCAATGGAAAGTTTAGCATCTCCAGAGGGTAGATAGAGGCGGGACCCATCAACCACTCCCAAAGCCAGCAGAATAAGCCTTCACCACGCATGGAGTCACTCAGAATTCTCTCCAAGGAAATCAGGGTGTCTTTTCAGCTTCTGATTTCCCCAGCTAAATAGGAAGTAAATTATTTTGTGCTCATTATAAACAAAGAGAAAATGAGGGCAGACAAGCAGCAAGATAACGAAGGATTCATCCAAATGCCTTCCAGCAAGACAGCAGAGGAGCTGAGAATTCCCCTCTGCTCCTCTTCCCACTCCTTTCCAACTGTGACCACGCAGGCCTCTCACCTCCTGGGGAAAGCTCCCTGGAGCCACAGTAGCTGGGACTTACCCGGATGGAATGTTCAGCCTTTGGCACTTGCTCAAAGAGTTGTCCAGAACCGACTGGGCCTGCACTTGGAGCGTAATGGATTGCATTAGGAGGCTCATCGAGGTCATGACACGAGAGTTTTGCAACCACGGTGTCTTTCGCAATCACCTCCTGGCCTGTGTACCTGTTTTATTGTTTAGGAAGAAAAAAAATCATTTTAGATGGACATTCTTCAGAAAGGTAATGCTTTCCCATATCTGCTAGTGTGGGAGGGGGATGCCTTGGTGCAGATGTTCCCCTTTATCCTGGAGCAGACAGAGCGGTGACTTTGGTGAGACTTCCTGCTTTGGGGGGACTGTTCCTTTCTTCACCCCAGTGGGCCCTTGCTTGGAATGGGCAGTTCATCGAGGCTTGCACAGGGATCTCGCTTCCCCAAAAGCTTTCTCTCCCTAAATTCTAGTCATCCTTTGACAATCTTCCCTGTTCCCTGATTACTCACAAGTCTTTCCTCTTGACAACTAAAACACAGCACCCAGGACTCAGTTGTCTTGTTCTGTGTGTGTGTGTGTGTGTGTGTGTGTCTGACTGTTGTTTTCTTATGTATGATTATGTTCTACCTGACTAGGTAGAACATCCTTACAGCAAATGAACGTAACAAATACTCATCCTGTCACCTCCAGGACTCTGGGTAGGTGTTTAGTTAGTCAACTATGATCCTCCTGGAGGAAGTAGAAGGAGATGAAGAGAAGAAAGAAAAGATTTCATTTTTGAGTGTGCCTAGTCTTGTATTAAACAAATTCCAAGCACAGATCAAATTTGCTCCTTATAACCATGCCATGAAGTAGGTGTGATCATCCCCATTGATAAGTTAGAATACTTGGGGTCCCCATTGAACCCCATAAGGTAGGCTAACTTTTTTTAATTTTTTTTTCAGAAATACTGGGGATTGGGCTGGGGATGTGGCTCAAGTGGTAATGCTCTCGCCTGGCATGCACGTGATGCTGGGTTCGATCCTCAGCACCACATACAAAAAAGATGTTGTGTCCGCCGAAAACTAAAAAATAAATATTAAAAAATTCTCTCTCTCTAAAAAAAAAAAAGAAATACTAGGGATTGAACCCAGTGGTGCCCTACCACTCACTGTACTATGTCCCCCAGCCCTTTTTATTTTTTTATTTTGAGATAGGATCTCACTAACTTGCTGAGGCTGGCCTCAAAGTTGTGATCCTCCTGCCTCAGCCTCCCAAGTTGCTGGGATTACAGGCATGCCCCTGATAGAGTAAGTAATGTCATTTTAAAAAGAAAAACTGTCTCAGTGGTTCAGGAGGCTGAGGCGGGAAGATTACGAGTTCAAAGCCAGCCTCAGCAACAGTGAGGCAGTAAACAACTCAGTGAGACCTTCCTTGTCTCTCTCTAAAAAAAATAATGTATATATTCAAAAAAGGCTTGGAATGTGGCTCAGTGGCTGAATACCTTGAGTTTAATTACCAGTTTAAAAAAAAAAAACTGGAGTAAGGACTTAGGTAAATTACCAAGATCATACAGTTAATAGCCATAGTACCAGAATTCCAAGCTCAGGGCTATGACTCTAAATCTCTAGCCTGTATCATTTGCTAACTGTCAGATTTTGGAAACCCAGCTTTCAGTCATGAACAGACCAACAGGTCATTTTTTGAGGACCATGACATAATGCTGGATAAGAGTCAACTTCATGAAAAACCACATTTAGGTAGGCCAATAAACAGGGCACTGCTTTAAACCACTCTGAATTCTTGCCCCTGTCCACCCCGCAACCCCATCTTAGCCCACCTAATCAGATATCGATCACAGAAAGGTGCGTTGTCATTAATGCCACGAACATAGGTCGTCACTGGAATTGCTGCACATCTCTGGTCACCATCACAAGCCTTAATGGAGAAGGACTGAACTCTTGCAAACCCAGCTCTCTCCACATCCAGACGGGTGGCAGTAACCACAGTCCCGCGCTCTGCAATGACACAGCACATCTTGCTCCAACTGGCCCAGGATGTCATTTTCAAAATTACTTTATTACATATGTAGCTACGGAGAAGATAAAGTGCGGATTCTGCCCCATTCGTTAGAACTAAGAAGCTGATTCGAAGCGCAGGCACAGTGTTTAATTATTGATGCCAAAATGTGCAGTTCGTATTAGTTCACTTGTAGCAAAAACAAAACTGATTTTGGCTTCAGGGAACAGAGAAGAGTCCCTGGAAGAAGAGCCCCTTGTTTTAGGATGTGAAGCATGTGTAGGATCAAGAAATGGTAGCAAATAGGAGGAGATTATTGCTGGAGGAGAGAATATCGTAAATGGATAAAAGTACTGGATTAGGACTCCTTAAACTCCTATGGACAGGTCTTGAAAAACACTAGGGGCAAGGCAGCAGTCTAGTTGTTAGCTTGTAGAGTAATAGATCACTCAGTCACAAGGATTAGGATGAGGATGGAGAAATAGACAAGGACCAGAGGAAGTAGGACCTCCATGTTGACATAGGATGTCCCAATTGCCACCCAAGGGCAAAGGTAACATCTACAGTGAAGGAAAATAACTCAATTTGACTTCTAGGAAAAAAATCATTCTAGCTCTTCTAGGGAGATTCCTGCAGGCGTTCAAAGTGAGAACAGAAACCCAGTTAAGAGATCCCCACAGAAATGCTGGTGAGAGGGGATGGTGGCTCTTGGTTGGGGCTCTATCAAAAGCAGAATCTGAGATGAGGATTGGAGGGCAGGTCCTTCATTTGGGAGGTGACCCAGGGCAACGCGGCATGGGGGAAGTGACACAGGGAAAAAAAAAACTCCCACTAAAATGTGCATTATTAAGCAAATTACCACTGTAAGCAAATAGAGCTTAATATCACTGGGGACCTCTGGGAGCCAGTGCAGAACACACAGTCGAAATTGGATCATGCCAAGGCAAAGAGCTGGAATGTTTGTACCATGCCAAGGCAAAGAGCTGGAATGTTTGTACGTCCTTCCCATTCGTTGGCTGGGAGCTCCCAAGGGGTAGAATTTCTCCATTACTTTCAACCTACTGTGGGAGGGACTCGGGGGAGCAGCTGTCAGAACCCAAATAATCCCTCAGGCAAAGAAATCTAGATATCGGCAATTGGAAGCCAGGCTTGATGTACTAAAATGTTACAACCTAAGGAGATATGAATGGGACAATGATGTCACCTGCCACAGTGGCAAAGCCAGCCTCCAAGCTATTGATGACCACCTTTCTTCTCAGCCCTAGAAGCAGCCAGAGATACCTTGCAATCTGACCCGCCCCCCTGGGCTCATCCACTGCTGATTGGATGAGACGCAAGTGACGCTACTCTAGGAAGTCCAATCAGATTCTCCCTCACACACATACACAAATTGACCTTGGAGCAGAGAGAA